GGAGTAGACGGGATTTCATCCTTTCTCTACAAATATGGTGGTCCAGATATTCCACTACTTTTCCTAAAGCTGTTTACCCTCTCTCTGGAAACAGGTGCTCACTCTTACTGTTGGAAAATCTCGTATATCATACCACGTTATAAATTTAGAGGTAAGATTGAAATGAACACTTATCGGCTCACAAATATTACTCCAGGGCTCTCTAGCATCATGGAAAAAATTGTTAGTGACGAACTCTCCGACTATTTACTCCCTGGAAAATTTATCGATGATTCTGAACATGGATTTCTTAAAGATGGATCTTGTATGACATACCATTTTAACTTCTTTAATTTATTCTTTTCTCAACGTAACCAAGAATATTTATTTCTAGTGTTGTACTTTGACATTTCTAAAGCCTTCGACTTAGTGAACCACCAGCTTCTTACGGACAAACTCGCATATTATGGGGTCCTAAAGTATTATAGCGCTCGGTTTTCCACATTTACACGAACGGGACGTTAATTTGCCATGAGATGAATATCTAAATTAGATTCTCTCCTAGTGTCTATTCTACAGGACTTCAACACAACTCAGATCAAGAACACGTGATTCGCCTGACTAGAACGTAAAAATATTTCCACACCATAACTCGACACAGTCCAACAGCAATCGAAAATCAATAATAGTTAATAATAAGGATAGGGGAATATATAACTCACTTAACACTATCTACATGTCTGACTAAGCAAACAATCAATCATTATCATTCCCGCCCACATATATCAGTAGGCCCCTTCCGTATGCAGTTGATCTTTAGGTAGCGTATTCATTTATTCCTCATGAGCTGACCGATATGCAAAATCGCATCACTATGGAGCTTACCAAAGTGGCTCAGTGGCGCGCAAAATATCAGGTGGAGATTACCACCGCTTAATTTAGGTGAATGTGCTTCAGTAATACATTACTCAACTTGGATCTTACCATAAATGGTAAGGTGCTGTCTAATTTACAACCAGTAATAGACTTATCACTTAGGTACTCTTACGATTTGCCCCTTAAAAGAACACGTCTCGAAACATACCTCCGAGTCCCAACGTCTTATGGGTTGCAGAATTCTAAACGTCTATAACAAGGAGTCACGTATTTTGATGTACAAGTAATGTGTCCGACCACTCCTAGAATACTGCAGGGTTATTCTTTGTAGCGTGCGCATAAAGGATAAATTAAGGTTGGAATCCTTACACGGGCGATTCAAAATTCGGATTCTTGGAACTGATTGTACTTTGAATTGTAAGTCCAGATATAATAAACTTGAATTTGACCCTTTATGGAAGAGGATACTCAAACTAAACCTAATCTTTTCCTTTTTATTCTTCTTCTTCCTCAAAATACCTAATAAACTATCCGTTACATCCAGTCAAGTTATTCTATATATATCATTATCACTATTATTTTAACCATTATACGAACCACAGCATTTCAAAGAGTGTTAGTTGTTTTGTAGCATGCTTTAGTTCTATGTTGCTTCGAGACTGAATTTCTTCAATTGTATCATGGCAGTATGGTAGAACTACGGCATAAAACCATACTATTTCACTTGAACTGTTACACAACCTTAAATTCTCCCGTTTTATTACACTTTTAATTATGTTTATAGAAAAATTATTAAATAGTCACATGTTAATTATCATCCCACTTTTCTTCTTGTTTATCCTCTTCAGATTTTAATGATCATAGTCACTATTCTAAAGAGATATAGGCCCAGAGAGAGTTTTGTACTGAAACTATTTGCTGAATTGAAGTCAGTATAACGATTAGAGTGTGTTGGTTTTCGGTAAACAGTTAGATTTATAGTCCACTTAAATCTTTTTTAATCAAGCAATCTAAAAATGACAGCTCATCTTGGTCATTTCCATGATTGAACGTAATGTAATAAGAGAAAGTATTGATCAGTTTAGAAAAGTGTCATAGTAGTCTTTTTCATGGCGAAAAAAGTTTCATCTGTTTACTTGACTTCGAATCGTGGTTTGATTTCATTGCCGAAAATATTTGATTATAAATGTGACATAAACAGGCTGGCTACAATCAGGTACACGGAGGATCTTGTAGCTACTACTTTTTGTTGGTTTAAGAGATTTCATGATAAGACTGATGCTTAAAAGACATCTGTTAGATAAAGTATGATCATTCTCTAGTAAACCGTTGATAAAGTTTAGGCATCTGTCAATAGGAATACTAGTGCATAGAGATACAACATCATAGCTTACCACTGTTTCATCGTTTTCCATTATTAATTCCGATATTTTTGACGTAAAGTCATAGGAATCATTAATTACATTATGTTATCTGTTTTGAAATAGCTTTTATACGCTGCTCAGATATTTAGATAATGCATATGTAGGTGTGTTTGTATAGTCCACTATAGGTCTTATTGGGCTCTCCGGTTTATAAATACGATTGTACAGTCGAAAACTTTCTTTGCCGAACTATATTTATCCTTCTCTAATTTTATATGTTTATATTTCTTCGTTCAACAGTGCTCCATTATCTAAGTGAACTGAACAAGATGAAACTATCTATCGCTCCGTAATCTGTCAAAACAGATAATCCAAATCCAAGTAGATGATCAGACACCAAAATTCAAGGCTCGATAGACAGTTTGTTCATATTAGTATGAGACGCCTCAGCTGTGAAGACCCAGTATTTCATCCGTGATTAATCTATAAATATTTAGGCCTTGTGACGAAAACTTAGTATTTAGTCGACTTAATTGGTTTACTAATACTTATCAATATGGAACTTGAGGTAGGTGTTCCCGTATTTCTAGTGATAAGCTGTAAGCGATGACGTTCAGGTATGTCAGAACTCAAACAGTCATTGTTATTAATAAATGATGACCATCTGATTTTAATATGAATCTACCGAAGTTGAAAATATAAACCTTTGGACTATGATTTTAATTCCAAATTTAATTTCACATAATATTCAGTTTCCATATTGTTGAAGAGTTTAGAACTGTTTTAGAAAGACTGTTTAGACTGTCTGAATTGGCATTGATCTCACGAAGGAGATTTACAGGACATTACTGAGCTTATTTATTATACAAACAATATTTCTCTTACTGAATCAGATTTATAATTAAAAACAAATCACAAACATTCAGTAAAATTTTATTGAATCCCAAATTATCCCATTAAAATTAGTACTTCAAAAGAGCATTTTCATAATCTTTTCATTAATTTGTAGTGTCATTGTCAACACCATAATCACGAATGAATAATCCATAATATGAATTCATTTTACTTAGTTGTTTAATACATTATGTTACTCAATTGATATTATACGTACCAGGACCTGGGACAAACTGAAATTTGTTTTTAAATACATCATAATGAAACAATAATTTAACTAATTTTTATTACAAAGGGTTTTGTGGATATTACATTAATTTCAAGAGTTGAAATCATGACTCAATTGAAGGTAGACTAACATGGAAAACGTGGAAGCAATGGACGGCTGTTTCGTTCTATTATGGAACTCCTCAGCAATGCGCATCTACGATTCCGCCTAACGTGATTCCAATCAAGAACCTATTAGTCTCGCGCGCAAACGCTTAACCAATAAACCACTGAGCTGACCTGCATCAATGATGTTAATTTCTAACTTCAACTAATCCACGAAATTGCGTGACACATTCACCATTGTATTTGGTGAGTTAGTATCTCACAACAGACCAGGTTGAACTCCACTAGTCACTGCTTCCCACTAGAACACTATGAAATGCCTCTTGAGGTCGGTCACTAGTGAGCATGTGTTGATCAATATCAGAATAGTGGATGGTGGTCTAGCTTCAATTGACTCATGATCTCAACCATTAAAATAACTAACTTTTGCAAAACATTAGAATAATTGTCGGATCCTTATCTGAAAAATTGTTAGTTACTATTTAAAATAATAGTCGGTTACTTTCTTGACAGTGACAACATAATATCTTATAATGATAGGATTTGTCGACAACAAAATGTATTCATTGATTCCGTACATTGAGTACAAATAGAAGATGAAATCATAATAAAGTACACACTTATGTGCGAAGTGGATAAAACTACTGGTAGATTTCAGTGAAATAATAGAGCTAGTAAGATATGCTCAGTCGACACAACTAATAAGGAATTAGAGTTCATACATAATATGTTGATTGAAATGGATTATCTACAGAGTTTTCTGAAGAAACACCTGCGTGTAACAAATAGGAAAATAGCGACATCAACGTCTAGTAAGAATCTTCTCTTCTTGAAGCTGCAATTCAATGGTGATGTAGCTGATGCTGTACTACGTGATAGACTGACCAGAGCAGTGAAGAGAACGTTTAATGCAGTCAACCTCTGTCTATCGTATTCAACCTGATCTATGGTGATTTCCCAACTGAAGGATAAGTTACCTGGTTATGTCACTTCTGTGTGTATCTACGAATTCAGCTGCTTCTGTGGAGAAAGCTATATTAGAGCGAACTACCAGGCAACCGAACCAAAGAGTTAGTGAACACCTCCCTTCAGGTTAGGAAAAGCTACTGTCGAAATTTTCATACGTTGAAATTCAATCGTAAAGTACGTTGACAGTTACAACAAAAAGACGCGCTTAACCTCAGAGATTCATGACAATAGTAGTCACTGCTATAAATTTAAGATCAGTGTTTTTAGCTATTCAGTGAATGAGTACTTCAGTGCCTGTTTGTGCAATCAAATATTTGCATTTCAATTCGAAACTTCATTTTCACCACGGTACTAAATCCTTGTAATCCTTGAAAAAACCAAGTTCACATCCACCGGACTACAGAATCACAATCGATCTCAAAGCGTTCAATGTTTATGATACTAAGCAGTATTTATTTTGTTTATCGTTCCAGGTGGTTGTGAACAGCTAGTTCCTTTAATTTGTTTGCTTCCAGCTCAGTATTCGAATGATATTCTTGTATGCACAATAAAAAATATAGATATAAACCACTGATTCAAAAATATTTAGTTCTTCTGACATTGATATTTATATATATCAAGAATGATTACATGCTTGAAACAACTAATACCTACCGATTTTGAACGTTTAAATCTGGGTACCTGTGATACAAATGGAGAGATTATTCCAAATGTTTCATTAAATGACAAATTGTAAGCACCTGGTGGAGGCACATTATCCTTAAGAATAAAATAATACAAAGAATACATTTTCGTTTAGCTAATCAAAGTGGAATGAGTGCTTAACTATCCTTTTAAGGTGAAAAAAACCCATTTTAAGTAGTTGAATAAGGTTAAATAAAGCTATTTGATCTTAGAATTAGAAAGTATTGAGTGAGGAAATTTCACCTTTCAAGTGTGTTTTATGAGCACCCAACAGAACTACGCGACATCATTACGTTAATTTTCACCCCCTAGATAGAAATCGTTAATCATTATCAATAGAGTAAATATATATAATATTGGCCAGATACCATCAGCAACAGCCTTCTCTGAGAGACAAAAAACCAGCTTCCGGCTAAAGAGGAAATTAAAAAAAGACGATGGAAATGGATAGGACATACATTGCGGAAATCACCAAACTGCATCACGAGGCAAGCCCTAGCTTGGAGTCCCGAAGGGAAGCAGAAAAGTGGAAGGCCAAAGAACATATTGCATCGGGAAATAGAAGCAGATATGAAAAAGATAAATAGCAACTGGAAAGATCTGGAAAGGATTGCCCAGGACAGGGTTGAGTGGAAAGTGTTGGTAAGCGACCTATGCTCCTCAACGAGGAGTAACAGGCGTAAGCAATTAGGTAATTGAATATATTCAGAATTCAGGATGTTGAAGATTCATTAGAACTCAGAAATCCTATCAGTTTTGAACATAGTAACATGTTGAAGATAATTTGGACTGTGCAGTTGACCAATATCGACTTTAATCTTTAAATAAGCATTTGATCTTCTTTGTAGTTCATTTGTCAAACTAAGAGTTGAGTCCTAAAAGAACTTTTCAAAACTTTGATGTGAATTTTTCAAGCGAAATAAATTTAATTTAATAAGTAACTCTATAGTCCACATTATAGTCCCAAGTTAAATCTGAGTAACATAATTTTGCATGAAGTTCACTTTAAAAATGAATTAATTACAGCTATAAAATTGCCGAAAACTGAAGAACACTAAGATATTTTATCGTAGTTTATATATATATATATAAATCAGTGAATATGAAGAAATGAAGAGGGAGGTCGATTATGAATAAAGTGGTCTTGAGTGCTATTAAAGGTATGAGGGCGGTTTTCACTTCCCGGTTGTCCACACCGTGGAAGGGTTGTTCTGGAGGTACCTGAAAAGGGAATTGGATTAGAGGTGGTTTTAGTGACCTAGAAGCGTGACCGCAGTTCCCAAGGGACAACTGCTTGAGGTCGGTCACACACGACCTTTTTATGAGTAATTTTCGTGTTAGCTCCGCACTTTTTGAGATCTTACCGCCGGAGATGGATAAGAATGGGATAAAACAAAGTGTGTATTTTTAGGGTCGACCTTTTCTAACATCATCCTTCCTTGTGGGAAGGCAGCATCGCTGTTATGCTGGTTGTCTCAAGGAAACACCTTATTACTGTCATACCTCTGTACAGTCAGAAGTACGACTTCGCCTTCGGAGCTTAGGTTTGTTGCTTTTAGTCTTACCGCTCTTCAACCGACCTGTCTGGTATAGTAGGACTTTGATGAACGGTAGTTCCAGCCAGTATAGCCCGGTTGCTTCATCACGATAGGCATGCTTGACCACCAGTTCAAGGTAGCAACAATGTTAGGGATGATCCTAATTTCGTTCAGATTTTGATCTATATCACAAATGTTATAAGATTTCAACATTTCAATTTCACTTCAATATGATATCACGAGAACGTATCATTGTAATGACTGTAGAACTAGGAAGTTATTCTATTTCATATTAAATATTCATTTATTTACATGTATATTATATTACAAGTGGATTAACATAGAAATCACTTGAATTCAGTTATAAGTATGATAAAAGGTGTGTTATTTTAATGTCAAAGTAACATTTAAAACTTACACCTGTATAGGTGTTGGCCCATAGTAATAAATTGATAAATCAAACCTCTTGTTGTTGTGTTTTTTTTTAAAAAAAAACAGGAATATAAATTAAATTGAATAATGTTCATTGCATGTTGAATCATAAGAATCCATTATGATTATGATGTATGATTTAGTCAATTAGTTTTATTCACATTACATGAATAAGAGATTATCTCATTTAAACTATTGTTAAATGGGTTATATCTTGTGGCTTTGTGTCTTATGTATTATATAACGTAATGATATCGTCAATTAGAGAATAGTACCTCTTATCGACCGGATCAATGACACATATAACCCGTACGAACAGTCTAGAGTCTTTATCTATTGTTCTTACTGCCTAACCTTGTCTGTCTATTGAGTTAAGAACACCATTCTCAGCCACTGTGATATGAATCGTTTATTTCAAACACACTGGATTTATATACAAACCAAATAGCTCACATTACGCCATAAAATAGAAAAAAACAGCCAAAGATGGCTATGGATGTGGGAGACTGTAATTAATAGACTGGACTGAACTCTAGAACGGTAAATTGTATTATACTTGTCTACACCTCGGGATAAAGCTTTAGATAGGAGGAACATGAATATGAATAGCTTAGCTACTTAATAATAATACAGTAAACATGTATGAATCCTATTGGTCCATAAACAGTTCTCAAGAGTTACCATTCATACCAGTGAAATTCAGATGATTGTTGGATAATATCTTGTATCCAGGACTGATGTATCATCCTAGCAATATTGTTTTCTTATCATTAACTTTGAGATAAATCTAAGTAACAAATTTATAAGATAATCATTATTCTGTGTTACTCTTTATCACAATTCATTATACTAAACATTGTATAACTGAAGTTGATCTCTACCCACTAGTCAGGTAACCTACACTGTTTACGAAACACGTGTTCTTCTCAGACTCATACCACTGTGCGCTTCTGTAAATTCTAACATTAAAAAAGTTAAAACATTAGTGGGAATATATTTTATATTTAAAAAAAATATGTGTCTTGTTCATTTCATTTAAAACAATGCCACATAAAAGTCCCATTCTGATATTGATCAAAACATGCTCACTAGTGACCGACCTCAAGAGGTATTTCATAGAGTTCTAGTGGGAAGCAGTGACTAGTGGAGTTCAACCTGGTCTGTTGTGAGATACTAACTCACCAAATACAATGGTGAATGTGTCACTCAATTTCGTGGATTAGTTGAAGTTAGAAATTAACATCATTGATGCAGGTCAGCTCAGTGGTTTATTGGTTAAGCGTTTGCGCGCGAGACTAATAGGTTCTTGATTGGAATCACGTTAGGCGGGATCGTAGATGCGCATTGCTGAGGAGTTCCATAATAGAACGAAACAGCCGTCCATTGCTTCCACGTTTTCCATGTTAGTCTACCTTCAATTGAGTCATGATTTCAACTATTGAAATTACTATAATGTTCACAAAATACCCTTCTGACATAGATAAAAGTAATTTACTTTACTTTTAAATTTGTTAAACGTTCTCATACACATTGTACTTATCATCAATCTTTACATTTTAACGTTTTATAAAAATATAAATCAGAATTTTCTGATCAATTTACAGGTATGAAAACTTGGACTCTTAAAAGGTGTTTTAGATTAAAGAATAAAAATTAATTGAAACAATTTAAGCTTATGCTACATTTTTACTCCGAATGTAAAGTTGTTTCACATAGATAAATTATAGCCAACAGTGGGATCCAGGAAATTTATTAGGTGAATTTACCTGAATTCCAGTGTTGATGTTCACTCTAGGACTCGAACCTAACGCGTTATTCATTAAGCTACTAAGTTTAGGTAGCCCGAAACTTCTGCAACGGGTATCATCTTTATACCAATCAGTATTAACGAGGAGTTTGAACATTCTATTGTCGATAGTCGACTGAATTTCTTATCAATCCAAAAATCACAATACTGGTCATAGTTTATGTTATCAATAATAGCTTTGAAGTTTTACCTATTATTTATTTCAAAAGTACAACTATCTCTTTTTATCTTAAAACTTAATTACGACAACAAACACCTGATTGAAGGTCACTAGTAATCTATATGACCATGAAATAATTAGTGGGAAGTGGAAAGAAGTCATGCAGATAAGTTGACACATAAGGAATCCATGTCTGAATTGTTCAGGGCGCTAAGTCACATCAACACGTAAGACACGTACTATGTACTAACGCGATGTACCGACTATATTACAATTTTATTGATAGAACCAAATCCCCATTAATGACTAGGAAAATATGATATAGATTACCAATCAGTTATCAATCGGTGTACATCTGAGTGTGATAATATTCACAATTATACAATATACCCTTTTGTCGGTTTTCGGAAGAACCAGATACTATTCAGGCCTTAGCATTACAATCCGAATAACACAATTCAGTCCTGTGATGCAACCCACACAGGTACCCAGCATCCTAGTAGATCATTAGATATACGGGTTTCAGTTACTGGAAAAATCTCTTTCCTCAAGATATTTAAAAAGCCTTGCTGAAAAGGGTCAACCATTTTGATATTGAAGTGCTATACTTTTGAAAAGATACTAATAGTGCATTTGTATTCAACCCATCATTTCTTAATGAATTTAATCATAACTCATACATGATATCCAGTTATTCTGAAGGAAAAAATGTAACTTCACACAAGGAAAAATTTTTGTTAGTGTTTTTTATGACTTACTTGCTTTTGACTTGAAACAGATCTGGGGTATTTTGATTTAAATACACTGTGATATGAAGGCAATTGTGTTTTTTTAATCTGCTCTTCACCATAAGGGTTATACTGACCGGGAGCTAAACACAAATTCTGAAATCGGGATAAGAAATATCATTTGAAATAACCATCATAAATATTCCTTGATTTGAAGTAATAAAAACTGATTGAGATTACATATGTAAATCATTGGATTGTGGCTTCTTTGTCTAGAGTTCAAGTGAAGGACTTGAGAGTTTTCTGTACGATCTAGTATGGTCGTGGGTGTTTACCTCTGCTAGGTCGAAGCACCTGTCTAGTACTCCCTGGTTCCCAGAGACTATTAAACTAAGGTCAGTTTATTGTAATGATTGTGGAATTCATGTCGGCTACTTGAACTAAACATCTTAAAGTGTTGAGAGGTCTCATTGAGCTCCACACAGATTTATGCAGATTAAAAAACCTCGGTGTACGTCTGGCAAGCCCATCTCAGGGCAGTTGTATTTCTGGATACCAGAGGTTGTCACTCATGAGGCGACTGTGGTCACTTCTGGTCTCCCAGTCTTTGACATTCTTTGACACGCTTGCGTAAACCAATTGATTTGTTTGTACTTACCTATTGACATCACGGTACAGTTCCAAGATTTGTTTCGTTTTTAGGAGTAGTAAACCTTGGCTGTACTTATTCTGATGCAGTATACAACTCGATCAGATAGCTAGAGTTATCCTAGAAGTAAATTCTCTGATAAGGCCCAAACAAACATTAGTTCTCTTTAAACCTGAAGAAATTCGAGAAGTCAGCAGATGATTAGGTGCGCCTAAGACTGTCAGCACATGGGATGAACTTATATTTAATAATGAAAGCAATAGACAACGATTAGCAACAACACTAGCATGAAATCAAGACATTAAAATACGAATCTAGGGTTTAGCATGATAAGACCTCAAATCCACCACGCTAGTAAATCTAATAGTTATTTAGGGGTTGGTATTCCTTGTGTATATGTGGTTGCATTTGTTCCATTGAAGTAGGGTTTCAACCTGCAGCAATCAGACTACCGAAAAGGTGAACGGTTCTTTGTTGCATGAAGGGTTACCAAATGGGAATTTAGAATGTAGAGAAGCAAAAAGAAGATAACTTTTATGACGTGTGAAGGAGTATTTTACACAAATGGTGTGAATAAGCAAGAATCTAAGTATAACGGATTTGACATAGGGATTGCCTCGTGTTGCAGTTTGTTGATTTCCTCAGTGTATGCCCTATCCACCCCCAGCATATTCCCCTAATTTCCTCTCCAGCCAGAAGCTAGCTTGCTCTCTCTCGCAGTAGGTTGTTGCTGGTGGTACCCGACCCTCGACAATTGTTTTAAATACTTACACTATTTTGACGATGGTTGTAGTAGTTCTCCGAGTTTCAGCTCTATACAGTAGAACTGTCTTGACGTTCGTATTGAAAATTCTGACTGATGTTGGCTGACAGTTGTTTTGAGTTCCATATGTTCTTCAGTTGCGAGAGTGCTCCTCTTGCCTTGCCAATCCTTACCTTCACATCTGCATCAGATCCTCCTTGTTTATCAACGATGCTCCCTAGATATGTGAAATTTACGACCTCCTCCGGATCTTCTCCATCAAGTGTGATTGGGTTGGTGCTCGCTGTGTTGCATTTCAGGACCTTGTGTATGTTAAGACCTACTGATTCAGAGGAGGCTGTTATACTAGCTGTCTACACCTATATTCGTTGGTATGTATGGGATAGAAGGGCTAGGTCATCTGCGAAGTTCAAATCGCCTAGTTGCATCCAAGCTGTTCATTGTATTCTGTACTTCCACTAAGATGTAGAGGTCTTTATAATACAGCCAACCACAAGAAGAGAGAAAACGAACAAAAGCAGCCTTGCTTGACACAGGTCTTTACTTGGAATACATCTGTGATCTATCTTCCATGCACGACCTTGCAGTGCAGTAAGCCGTGTGATGTTGATGATCTTCGCAGGTACACCATGTCGAAGAAGGTTCCATAAATCTCTCCTATCTTCGCTGTCAAACGTTTTCTCTCAGTCAAGAAAGTTGTTGTGTAGTGACGAGTCCCATTTTTGTAGATAATCCAACCCGAGAGAGCATCAGCCTGATGGATTAAGTCCTCAGATCTTTAGGGATGTTAGTCCAGCTTTACCGGTTAAGTTAACTGAAATCTTAGCTAGAACCTGAGAACTGCATGAAATCTCATCTGACTGGTCTCGATCGCTGATCATCTCAGTTTATAAGAAGGGACAAAAATCGTTTTGTGACAATCACAGAGGAATCTGTTTAACTAAGATGTCTAAAATATTAGCCTCGTTAATACTTCGACGTTTAATTAGAGCTCGTGAGGAGCAAACCCGAGAAAACCAGGCTGGTTTCAGACGTAAACGATTATGTATAGACCGAGTATTCACCCTTCACCAGGTTCTGAAACAGACATACTTTTCGATGTCCGATTATAGTTATATTTCTTATATTCCTTAATACGGAGTTCAACTACGAAGATCGTGAGGTTCTGTGGCGGTGTCTATCATTGAAAGACATCCCAAAGAAGTACATTAACATCATACAGGCTCTCTTCTCGAACATTTCTAGTTGAGTCAGAGCTTGTGAAGAACTATCAGGGTCATCTGCTTCTTCCATTTTTATCCAACTTGTCATTGACATGTTATTAGAAGTAACACTTTGATTGCTTACCTTTTCAGGAGTTTTCCTATCGAGAGATTCACTTGTTGACTTGGAATACCTCGATAATATAGTTCTGTTTGATGCTGACACAATGCCGTCTTCTGACCACATTAAATAACGACACAAGCATGTTTCGGATGTGATTCTAACCTTTCAAATCCAAAATGTTGCTTCAGGATTGACCTGAGTTAGTCATAGGGAGTGAAGTAGTTGGACGTATCGACCACCTCACTTATCTTGAGAGTCTCATCCGCACTGACGGTCTGATTTTTGGAGAAATCTCAGCAGGAATTCAGAAGGTTTTATTGGCATTTGCCAACTTGCTGTATGGGGAAGATATCGTGCTTCCGGTTTATAATTGCTTGATGAGTACATTCGCTAAGTGATCATAATTTTTTCTGCTTTGACAGTCCTAATTTTCCGAGAGTTTATTACTATGTAAATTAATTCTTACTCTATGTTACATTATCGTATGCCAGTCATATATGTACAGGTAAAATTATAATGTTTATTACATGTAATAAAATATTTGACGTCAAATACTAATCAACATAATATTTGGTGGTTAGAGACTTTGGATGACGCGGCTTAAATCGTTTATAATGGTTTAGGCGTATTTTCACGTAATCGTCTCTTGTATCCTAAGTTTCTAAAATCTTCATAATTGTTTTTAGATTTCACTAATTTATATTTTCTTGAATCATATCTTAGATACTTAATCTTTTCTATTTCTACCAGAAGTGCAACTAACTCTACTACTTCGGGAATAGCCATAATGTTGTCATCTCGTTGTGCTAATGTGGTATGACAAATTGGACCGATGTACTTAAGTATAGGGTTTATGCTGCAGCTGACTGACGTTCCACGATTACTTTAAATACTTGTCAGTACACTTTTATGTTACCTCCTATCCTGGTGTTCAAAGACCGACGGGATGACAGGATGAAGTCATTGGTATCTGGAGCGAGCTATGTAAGTAGGTGCAGACTACCTAGTTGGGGTTTGTGTGATTATCGATCTTGAATGACGTAGCTCAAAAACGTTCGAAACATTTTTTAAAATATTAAATTTAACTTTTTAGCCGTTACAACTTCACAGAGTATAATTGCAGAATTTTTTATGTCTGTTAATGAAAAGAAAACACGTTTCCAATCATTTTTTACAAATTATTCTCAACTCAACAGCTTGCATCGTTCAGAATGAATCATACATTATTCATAATAAATTAAAGAAACAAAATGAAACTTTTCAATGTACAAATGTACGGAGTTTGGAGAGATTCTTTAAGCCTATATAGCGGTAATCCGCACAGGATGCACATTCACCAGCAAGAGACTGATCAACTGCTGTCTTAAGTAGCAGTAGGAACATACAAGTAGAACAACACCAAGGGAATTTCACTGTTATAATTACAGCAGTTCATTATAAATGCAGGTCAAAATTAGATATCAAGATGAATATTAACGTTTGAAATAATCATATTTTTAAAATGCAAGATATAAATTTAGGATTGTCAGTGTAACAACTAGCATTTATAAATTCTCTGTAAAGTTCTGAGACTTGATCCATAGTAGAGATTTTTATCGGTATTGAAAAGTTCCATTATATGACGATTTGACTTTGTAACGCATCCTGGCTTGCATCGATTGTCTAGTTAAAGTCAATCTGTGATATATGTCGCACACACATTGAGGAAAGTACCGAAATGTGTCACAATGCAAGTTCTCATTTGGAATCCTCAAGGCCAAAGAAGAAGAGATAGATCAAAGAACACATTACATCGAGAAATGGAGACAGACATGAGAAGAATGAACAACAATTGGATAGAAATAGAAAGAAAAGCCCAGAACTGAGTGGGTTGGAGAATGCTGGTCAGCTGTCCATGCTCTATTAGAAGTAACAGGCGTAAGTCAAGTAGGCGATAAATATATATATATAGACTATAAATTAAACAGCTTGCATACATTTCCTATAATAAACAGTTACTTTAGCAAACCAGAATGATTTTCAAAAAAACCCAGTTATCATCTTTATTTATTTATCTTATTAAAAGGATATCAACCATATGATAATCCAAAAATCAGAAATGACTACAATCATGGTAACGTGAATGTCCATCTTAGATGAGGCTAATTTTTTCATACTGGTGGGTGATTTTTTCACCAAAAAATGATAGAAATTCATGTTAAAGCTAGTCATTAGTAAGTATATGAATTTCACTTAGTAAGGTAGCTGTTCAGAGATTTTTTTCTGAGGTTTCAAGTTCATGTGTATTAATTACTAACTTTGATCCTTAATGAAATTTGCATCCATGAACAATATCAAGACATTCTCTTACGATATAGATGTCTCAACAGAAATGAATTATGTTTTTGATTGAGATCATGAACCGATTAATGTTAGACCACCATTGAAAACCTAAAAGTACTGGACGGCCGTTTCGTCCTATATTGGGACTCCTCAGCAGTGAGTATCCACCATCCCGCTCGCGAGTTCTTCTTGGCTTTATGAAATACATTACAATGAATAACATTTTAAGTGTGTACACATTTTAAAATACCTCTTGATTTTGACACTATAGGTATTTTATACGAATATTTGTCAAGATTGGAGGAATAGTTTGACAAAAATTGGGCGCCAAGTATTGAGAATTATAATTGAAACCATCTCAGCGATTGGAATTTAAAAATAATTCCGTTTTTTCCAACTCATTTGTCTGAACCTCTTCAGAGTAGAATAATCAAAATCAAATCAAATCTATACTGTGCTAATTCAATCATATTTAGATGTTGTCGTTAGTAAATAGGATAACATGAGTTAGTTACATGAGAATCATGTGAAAAGTCCACGATGTGGAAATAAATGAATAAAATCAGTTGTCTCTCTTTGCGTGTGTGTGTGTGTGTTTATGTATGTATGTATGTGTAAGAATGAGTTATGAATGAATGATATTCGGCGTTATATGAAGGAATAAATAAATAAAAATGCAAGTTCAAGGTTGAAAAAATTGTTTATAAATCATTGAAATGCAAATAAAAATGAGACTCATCAATTAGATAATTGTATTGCCAAAAATAACTCACATTAAATTCCAGTCAAAATAACGATGCATGTGAAATAAACAGACTGGATAAAGAAAAGGGTCCAATTACTTGTCAGGTAGTCTCTAGTTGAATACCATCCTTTCAGTTCAGGCTATTCTTGTTCGCCCATATATACAGCACTTCTGCTGTCAATCTTTCCTTATGAATGTTTAAAACCTTTCTGAAGTATTTTTGTCCCTTCAAAATTAATCTTGTTTCCTGTTTCTAACGCATGTAACACTACCGCAAATTCATTCTCCAGTTTCATTAAGTCAACTGAGGATTTGGGCACATTTTTCAAACATTGTTTGTGTTCCTTCAATCTTACACTCAAATCATGAACTTTTTCACATGATTCTCAGGTAACTGATTCATGTTATCCTATTTACTAAAATCAACATCCAAATATAAATTGAATTAGCTGAGTATAGATTTGATTTGATTTGATTGTTAAAACGCTATGCAGTCATTCTTTGATAATTGTAATTTTGATTGTTGTCTCCTGAAGAGGTCCAGGCAAGCTAGTTGGGCGAAACGTTGGAATTACTTTTTTTTAATTAAAAATTTCAATCACTGAGATTATTTTAAATACACAATTTTCACATTAAAATAGAGATATGAATTATATTTTTATACTACTTACAATTGAAATAAGTAGTATGTCAATTATCTTTTCATTATTTTATAAATCAACTTACTTTATCTTGTAAACCAAACAATAAATCATTAAATTTTCTCGGTATATTTTTAAATGAATATGTTCTATGACATTGATTTAATCTATAAAATGAACAACGACCAAATAAATAAACAAGTTGGATAAACAAACCAAAAGTGAATTCGTACAGCGAGATTACATCAATCAGTAATAATAATAGTGATATATTTGATTAACCAATATAAAGTAGATCAACATATGTATGTCGGATCTCATTCATTTGGGTTATACATAGTTTTAGTTTCTATTTCACTTATATGATAAATAGGCTTATTTTATATAAAGTAAATAATAGATTTAAATATTGTTGAAATGTCAAAAGAATATTCAAGGCATAATTTTATGTCATAATATTTTGCTTTGTATCTTTTCAATTAATTTCTATAGTGGTCATTTGTTATTTGAAAATCAAGATTATGTTTTGAAATAAATGTATTGGCAGAGATATTGTTTCAATATAACATATTTACTTCTTTACTTATGCCTGTTACTCCCAATAGAGCATAAACAGTTGACCAGCATTCTCCAACCCACTATGTCCTGAGCCTTCCTGTCATGTTCCATACAATTGCTGTTCATTCATCTCATGTTTCTCTCCACTTGCTTCTTTGATCTATCTCTTCTTCTTTGGCCTTGAGGATTCTAAATAAGAACTTGTCTTGTGCCAATATTGGGTGATTTCCTCAACGTGTGTCCTATCCACTTCCAGCACTTCTTCCTGATTTCTTCCTTCACTGTGATCTGGTTTGTTCTCTTACACAGTAAGTTGTTACTGATAATATCTGGCCAACGGATCCTAAGTATTTTGCGTAGACAACTGTTAATAAACACTTGCATTTTTTGGATGATGGCTTTCGTAATTCTCCAAGTTTCCGCCCTGAACATAATTGACTGAAAAGCTTGATATTCTCAATATTTACTGATTATCATCGAAGCAAACCTGTAATCTTGACAAAAATAATGTTCTGTTATGGGATTCGAACCACTATAAACCCCAGTACCCTCACGATCAAATTATTCGCATGGTGATTAGCCTATTGTTTAGCACTTTTTTACTCGCTGACATTAGGCATATTTACTTCTGAATAGCTCAAGAAATTATAATGATATAGCTGTCCGCTATCGTATGTATAATTTTCATTAAGTTTAACTGGTTAGTAAGTCTCATTATGACTTTGAAGGGTGAATGAAATCTTCATTTGGGATCAATTTTTAATTTCTAAATTAGGTTGTGTAAATTTCGGTTTCCCTATTGCAAGTGACAATTTTCCGCCGTTATATCATAAATAATACTAGGGGAAAATTTTTTTATTCCTTTAATAGTTTTGTTTTTCGTTTCCCAGTTATGTAATAAGTTTATTTCAATGATTCACAGATAGTTTATGTGACACTTAATTCATATCTTAAACCAGTGTTTTCTCCATTTGACTAATTACACTAAAATCAAGGGATTAGTGAGTACTTGCTTTAAAGTCACACTTTTCCAAAGTGAATCTAACTTAAAACTTTACTATATGAACACCAATATTGTAAAGTTAATGGTGAGTACTTCGATGTGCTCGGCTAATCCAGACAATTCACGTGCCTGTATTCACATGCTTTTTTGAGTGCTAGGTGACAGATGATAAACAATGAACGCTGTCGGACGAAGCCGATTATGCAAATCATAGCTTATAAATTCAAAGAATTTATGCATGAATATATATATACATATATACATATATATCAATGACTTGTGTACACATGTTCGATTTGTCAGTTATAACTTCTTAATCATTATCAGTCTTCTCATTCACACAAAGCGTTTGGCTTGCATATAGGGACCCTATAATCAGTGTCTAGATCGGAGGATAGTGTAAAAATACAGCAGTAGACGCTTCAAATTCAACCACTTATTTCCCAGTTGGTGTCATGAGCTAGGAATAAACAACTGATCAATATTTCTCGGTCTCAATCACTTTCTCTTTAGTGTCAAGTCACGTAACTATATAGAAATATCCAACAGTGAAATGTATAATTCATAGTTATTTTACACCTAGTATTACTATTTCCAGTCAATTAAATTTCTTGTTTTAAACCAGCCCCTCAGTGGTGACAATTAAAATGATAAGAAATAGAAGTTTGGGATGACCTGTCTCAAAATTTATTAACAATTTAAACAACTTCACAAAGAATGAAAATTTAATAGTAATACAAATATTTTATAAAGATTAAGCCAGCCTACTTTTCGTCTACTCCATTAACGTTATAGGCACCGGGAAGTAACCATAAACCATCATTAGTAAATGTTGAGCATCGTCTCATTCGACCAGTATTCTTGAAACCATAAGAAATCGGACGTACGACAACTAGTCGTTTTATATCATAACGTGTAGGACTTGGACTATTCTGAGAATTAATGGGGAATAAATCATCTTTTACAAAAACAAACAGCATTCCAGAATGATAAACTACGAGAATGTTTGGCCTCAGTTAAACAACGAAACCAAATAACAACAGAAAATCTTAAGATAAATAAGATCGGGGATTTGTGGGGATTGTAGTAGTTTCAAGCTAGACCATGATTGAAAGCCTGAAAACACTGGACAGCCGTTTCGTCCTAGTATGGGACTCCTCAGTATTGCGCATCCACGATCCCGCACCGAAGGGACTCGAACCCAGGACCTTTGGTCTCAACTGTTAAAATTACTACAACCTCCACTAATCCCCATTCTGATAATAAACAGAATTGCTTCAGTTCATTTCTGTATTGGTTGTTTGAAACTTCCCATTGTTGTTTAGGACTGCGACTGATCAGTCTCTTATTAGGATAAATGTTCATCCTGTGAGAATAGGCTCGATATTTCCTTAAATCTCAAGTGTTAAAGGGGAAGATGAATAGTGGCTAGCAATCGAATCCAAGACACAAGAGTTGATGTTTACTCCGAGATGCAGGTACATATATCTGACGAATCTCAATATAGGTCGTAACGTGCGTCTTGGATTCCAATGCTAGCCGCCATTCATCTCTGCTTAAAGATGAAATTGTGTTTTTATGTTGTTCTACTTAAATGAGAAGCATATTTCATGTGGTTACATAAACAATTCAACTATTGAAATGACTTTAAATAAAAATAAATCCTGCCTATTAATTACAAATACGTATGTATACCTTTTAGATTCATAGAGATTATAAGGAAATTACAATGATTATAGAAATAGTCTATCCGACACAATTCAAATTGAATTAATAATATTTTGATAAAACTTTGACAATGTATTAGTTGTTGTGAGCTTTATTTAGAAATAATACCTGTTTTTAAGCAACCGAAACATCTATTTGTGCTTTGTAATGACTTCAAGGATGATATGTTACTGAGAAAACTGTCAACTTCTTATGTCGATAGAAACACTGAAAGTATACCATATTCTATACACTTCAAACGCTCATTTATTGTTTCGATAATTGTTGAGAAACTGACTTTGGAAAAAATATTTAAAACAGTTCTAGTACAACATATAATATAGTTGGATTTTGACTAACAGTGGAATCTAGAACGTACATTTCGTTCTTATCACAACTCATCAGTTGGATGTGCATTGTAGTGGCTGGTTCTACATAGCTTATTCTAGCTTCCGGACAAACCGACTTATCCATTCTCCTCAAGCTACATTTCGAACTTGTCAATTATTCGCTTATCAAACTTAACTGTTTTATATGAGCATGTGTGCAATTCTTATCTTATTCATCACATGTCTGTAATGTATTTTTATATGACTATAAATATCGATCAACGCTTAATTAAATCGAGTTAGCTCACACGACTTCACCGCGCGTCATTTCGCTTTACTCTCTTCTCTTCTCTCCGTCTTTCCGATAGTTTGTCAAGACCAACGATTGTGTGAAATATATATATTCAAAAAATCCATTCTCCTACTTGACTTATTTTAATTCCGTTATTCACTAACGCGAGTTAAGTCGACATTTATATAAGAGGGTAGCCGCCCCCAAATTCACTTGTACAGACGAGAATAGGGAGAGTCCGCCTTACCTCTCGAAATGTTTTCACATGACCATTCGTATATAGCTTCTGCCAGGGAAGTACTACTCACTGCATCCTCGCACCACGGGTGTTGTTTACGAAATCAAGATGACAAAAACCGAATGTTCGGCGCACTAACCGAGTTGATGGACAATGAGGGTAGACGTAGAGAAGTTGGAAAACACTGGTGCCGAACGAATGATGCACGTGAGCTGGCTCTAAGATACTGACGGAACAAATGGCATACGAACCTGTTGTTGGTCACCAGCTACCATGGGCCTGAATCGCCTGATATTGCTCCACTGTCTTGTGGACTAATCCTCTAGGTCAAAGGCTTGGTGTGTGGCCTCCTAAGAAAACGACCTGGTTCGGTTTGGGCACACGGGCAGTATACCTTCCGCCACACAAATCAAATGATTTATGTGGTGCATATCTATTCGGTGGCTCCTTGTGCCAATATCTATATGTTCAAATAAATAAATAAAGAGGCTAGCCAGAAGTATATTTCGATAACTCGATAGTATTCATCATGCGATCCAAATGGAGTCAGATCCCGTGTTACTAAATGCTATAGATATTAGATTATTTATTACATTTTTCATTTTATTTGAGTTCAGTTAAAATCGAAGGAATTGTACGTAGGGATTTGTTAAAGATACACATATGCCAAAAAATCATGATCAGAATTTGTTCCTGAATACCAACTACTGAGTTTACATAAACTCTTCAACATAAAAAAAATGAAAATTTAATAAGTTGGTGGCTATCCAGAAACTGGAAGGGTGTTGGAAGCAATATGCCTTGAATTCATAATGAAACATGAACAACAATACTGGGATGCATGTTTTAGTGGCCCAAGATCTGACCCCAGTTAGAGTGGAAAAATGATCGTTATTGAATGATTGCTGTCGAAATATAAATCCTGACTATTCTCGTATATTATTATGGACTTAAATCAGGTTAATGAATAACGGAATTAAAATAAGTCAAGTAGGAGAATGGATTTTTTTGAATATATATATTTCATACAATCGTTGGTCTTGACAAACTATCGGAGAATCGAAGCAAAGAGAAGAGAGCCAATCGAAATGGCGCACGGTAGAGAGAGCGTGTAAGCTAACTCGATTTAATTAAACGTTGATCGATATTTATAGCTGAACGAAAATAAATTACAAACATGTTATGAGTAAGATAAGTGCACACCCATACGCTCATATAAAACAGTCAAGTTTGATAAGGTCAAATGTGACACAGATGAACATAGTAACCGACACTACAAGCCATCTATTCACAATTCACATATGTGCATAAAAACGGATGAAAATTTTGTCCTGTATACTATTAATTAGATTATAATAACTTTTACAAATGAATTCTAGTAAAACACTTTTGATTGAGCAGTTGAAATGAATTAGTTGAAGAGCCCAAATTCTTACAACTTCCAATCACTATTCGAATAACGAAAATGAAGATGTAGCCAGTGTTTTGCTATAAATGGAAAGTTTTATGAAGAGAGAAGCATGTGATCTACCTAATAGTTAGTAAAATAAGGTTTTTATTTAAACAGAGACTATTAGATAGACATCCAATCACCATGACGTGGGAAGCCTAATCACACTTTCCTTCTGTATACATAGGTCAGGTTGGAAATGTCTGATAGTGGTTACATCTGCCAAACTGAGTAAAATTGATGCTTTTTGTCTGTCAATTATTTTGAGTGCATTACTTCATGTCTACTATTCCAAATTCGACTGGTAGTTGTATTTGACTTTACGCCCTTTCAGATGTAGTTTTCTTTGTGTAGAGGAAACCTTGTAGAAGCCCTTCTTTCTGTCATTCCTACAAACTTGCTATCTCAGTTACATGTAATTTCGTGGACACATTTGGAAGTAACCTGGGCAGGGTACTGATCTACATTTGAATGATACAACGAACACCTGATATCATTCAATGAAACCAAGTAAAAATGTAAGGAAGCTTGTTTTCAGTTCCGCATTGACTATGCTATCGATTCTTCTTGAAATCTAATCTTCCTTGAATGGAAAGTGGATGAGGACAGATTTTCTTCCAATGGTTGGTTGTTTATCATCCTTGAGATGTTTTTAATAGATTTCATAACAATTTACTTTAGATATCCAATTTTTTATGAGATGCTCTTCCTAAATACTCGACTCCTCATTTAATTTACCGCCTAAACATGGTTCTGTTGAAGAACGTCTCGACTAGACACCTTTCTTAACTGGCAGCACAAACGCTGTCGAAGTTTGGATACTGTCCTGTCCATATTTTTTTTCAACATATACTTTTCTCAAGACTTTCATCATATTTCCGCCTTACATCAAGATCTAAAAAATCGATTTGGTTATCTCTTTGATATTTCATTGTAAACGTTATGTTTGCACTAAGTAAAAGAGTAGCATGATCCATAACATCATAGATAATGAAAATATTATCAGCACATCTGGACAAGAATGTTTTCTTCTGGATTTTGTATTTTATTTTCGTTTATCCTAGGTTAGCTGTGAAGATATTGGCCAAGGTAAACCCTAGTGATGATCCTACGGCAACTACATCCACTTTTTGCATAGTTAATTGTTACTCAGGATTCGCATATTTACTGAACAGGCTTTAAATGAGAGTAAGAGAAAGGAAAATCCAATGAATATGAGAACTCTAAACTACAAACATTTTAAAAGGTTTCATTAGGTAAGTGGAAATTTTTCATTGTTTCACTGAGAGTATTTACTTTGATAATAATTTGATGAGCTATTCATTACTGAATCATTTTCACAGTATTGTCTGTTCATAAAAATATAATCATGAATCATGGAAGTCCAAACTTCTAATAGAAAGAATGTAGGATAAATTTTTCGGCGCGACTATAATTTATGGACGACCTTTGAATGAATGTTAAGTGACTTTGAGAAATACTAGCCAATCACAAAACACTGCATGAATTCTAAATATATTACACAAAACCAAAGATTTAAAGTGAATACACTTCTTTTACATGGTTCAAAAACTTGTCAGGGTTAGAAAAAGGTTCAAAAGCCCTAAAATCGTGATGCATACGGTAGAGGAAATCATCCATACGGCTTCATAGTAGTTGGCCTCCGGAGCCATGATAAGGTCACAAAAGCTCTTTCATCCTCTACCACATAGCTTAGATATTGTTTGTGTGCACTCCGGTTGTTGGGTTCACCAAATGCCACTTGTGGATAACTACACGATGCGCATAACCAAGTCTATGTAGGCGTCTGTACGCCCTTCAATCATCCGTATATATTGTAGTACCTGGCTGCAACTAGTTACTGGTGCTATTATTACCCGTTCCGCAACAATTGTAATAACTCGCCTTACTTTCAATTTGGATCAAGTGAAAAAATCCTATCGTACCAGATTTCTTCCACTAAT